GTCCGGACAGCCGGGGCCCTGCAGCACTTTGTGACCTGCCTGCTGCTGTGGCTGCGCCCGGTGTGGGACGTCGTGCTTCTGCTGCCATTAGCACAGCTCTCCTGGAAGTGATGTATTGTTGTGTTCTCGGAGTCTGTGCTGCACCTCCATTCCGCCATGCATTGAAAGGTCACTGAGCTAAGCAGTAATAAACTCATAGGTTGATATACTGGGGAATGAAACAGGGAAACAATAGCCACTGAGTGTGAGCTTATATGTCAGAAAATACATATATTATCACCGTATTCAAACGAAGAGTAATTTATAAAGGCAGGTGCTGGTAGGAGCAAGTGTGTTGTTAGCAACCAGAGAGAGCCTTCCCTGCTGCATGGAGCCCAGAGGTATTCTGATTGTTCAGGCAGAACCAGGGCATGGAGCTGAGGCTGTGGGCATGTGAGATGCAAGGAGCATGGCTGCACAGAGCTGTGCATGGCTGCAGCCACTCTTGGCTGTGCTGAGTTGCGCTGTGTTCATGGGGAAAGGTTGGAACTAATGCACAGCTTAATGCCTGTTGAAACCAGTTAATCAACGTACAGCTTTGCCATTCCACTGAGCAGTGTGGCTCACTCAGGGGCAGAACAAGCGTTGCATCCCCACATGTGCATGTGTCATCTTTCTATGTGCGGCTGACCGCAGGCTCACGCTCCCCCAGCTGGATGCTCTGCACATGAGTGCAGCACTCAGCATCGAGGTGAGTGCAGCGTACCCACATCACCTGCTCCAGGGACACACAGCAGAGCTGTGGTACCTTCATCATTGTCCGTATCTGCTGAATTCCTTCCTGCTGTGCTTTGGGGCCAGTGACTCCTTCAGTGTCCTCTGCAGATTTATCTTCTGCATTTCAGCCTTGGAACATCCGCTGTTCTTTGTCAGTTTACAGAAGGAGTGTTGGTTTTCAACATTAATTTAAGTTTGGATGGCTACTATCATTCTTGACAGAGCCCTGTAGCTTTTGGTCTGGTGCACTGGGTGATGCACCGTATCACCTGTGAACCTCTGAACAGGCAACCAAAATAATTTAAGGAGATCGTGAGACGTTTTTAATTCTCATGAAATTATGTAAAGTTGCAGCTTTAAATGAAGGTGACAGGTTTAAAAGGTGCATTTTAACGCAAAGTAAATTCTGTGCTCTCTCTGGGCTGGGCAGCTGGCCGGACGGGTCTGTGCTGTTCAGGGTGCTCAGACACCAGGCAGAGCCTACGCAGGAGCGTGGCTGTCCCTGAGCGGGGCTGCGGTGGTGCTGCCAGTCGGAGCTGCCAGGCACAGGTGCTGCAGTGGGGGGCTGCCAGGCCCTGCAAAGGGAGCATGGCAGTGTCCTCCTGCACAGGTGTGAGGAGGTTAATTGGGCTGGGATGTACATGTCTGCATCACATCTTTAATGGAAATGTTGATTCGGGAAGCCGCAGCTCTAGTGATTTCTGTACAAGTGTAATTATTTTTAAACTTTGTTTTCAGCATTGTTGATGACAGCTTGGCACCGTGCCTGCATGACCTGATTAAACTTACACATTGTCAGCCTTGATCTATAGGATGCAGAGGAGAATGCTGACTGAGCATCACTTCGGAAATTCTTGATTTAAAGCAAAAATTAGACTTAGAATATTGTTTCCAACAGTGCAGTGGAGGAGTGCTGGTGATTCCAAACACACCGGGCGCCCCAGCGGTGATAGCAGCTTGTTCCCTGTTCTGTACAGGGCAGCTCAGGCCCCGTTCCTGCCCTGTGCCACATTGTGCTGCCCTGTGCCTGCTACCACCTCCTCAACGCTGTTTCCCATGTGGCTGTTTCTGGGCTATTGCGTCGATTCTGCCCCATTTCCCCTTTCCTTTGGGAGCTTTCAGCACTGAGTGCCTGTGTGGAGCCAGAGACCACTGCAGGTGTGTGCGTGGTGCTGGCGGATCCGCGGCTCTTCCTGAGCCACTGGGGTTGAAGCAGCAGATCTTTCCTTGGCCCTTTGTGGCAACATTTGGACTTGCAGGAGCAGAATCCAGTTGGGCAAGTCTCAGTTGGAGGGGGAGTGCAGTGCTCAGATCCATTTGGAAGGAAATGAGAAGAAAATTTGTACTTTGGAATAAATAATGCACTTAGATTTATCGTGTGGTCTTGCGTCAAAGCAATGCAATGAATAGGGATAAACAATAGCAGCCTTGTGTCGAATGAGGTACACCTTGGAAAAGAGTTGGAAGGTGTATGCGTGTGCACTCATGTGGATACTCTTAGTGCCTACAATGAAGTGTTTAAATATGTGACAGTGTCCTTTAAAAGCTGGAGGAAGACGCTCTGGTTCTTTATGGGAACTGGTGGGATTCTGTAGGATGCTGGGAGCCCACAGGGTTGGTCTGTGCTGCACTCTGGGAGCGCTCCCACGAGGACAAGGCTGGGCAGGGTGAGGGAGCGGGCAGGGCAGGGCGGATGCAAGAAGTACTGATGGTGTTTTCTCTTCTTCTCTTTTTTCTGCACAAGGTTTGAGCATCCGAGGAGCCCAGGAGGAAGACCCTCCCGATCCCCAGCTAATGAGACTAGACAATATGCTTCTGGCAGAAGGAGTCTCAGGTCCGGAGAAAGGTGGGGGATCGGCGGCAGCAGCTGCAGCCGCAGCAGCCTCTGGAGGGTCTTCAGATAACTCTATTGAACACTCAGATTACAGAGCCAAATTGACCCAGATCAGACAAATCTATCACACAGAGCTGGAGAAATATGAACAGGTCAGACATCAGCCTCTCAGTTGTTTGTGTCCCCACTGCTGCCCTTGCACCTCTGCTTGCCAGTGGCGGGTGCCCAGGGCTCTGGTGGCTCTCCCTGCCTGTGCTGCCTATGAGGGCTGCAGGGCACATGTTTGCATGCCCAAGTTCTCTCTGTTGTCTGTAACCACATAAAGTAGCACTGGAGCCAGTGTTCCCTCTCGTAGAGCCAGCGCTGGAAGGAACAGACTGTGTGTGCCCCCGGGTGGCTCAGGAGACACAGCATGGCTGCGGGGCTGGGTGCAGTGTGTGTGCTGTGTGTGAGCTGCTGGCCACCCACAGGGGTGGGGAGGCTCTGGTTTCTCAGTGAACAACTGCATTGGAGCACAAGGAGTGGGAAGTGTGGCTTTGTGAGACCTTCAACCCTCAGGCTTCTGGTGTTGCCTTTGTTTTCTGCTCCCAGCGATGTCCTGACAAAGCTGGCAAACCCTGAGCCCACTAGCTCAGTGAATTTAATCAGTGGTGGTTTTCTGAGCAGAGCAGGGGAAGCCCTGCCCTTGCCCTTGCCTGTCACAGCACAGTCACTCTGAACAGGCCCAAACCACAAACAAGTTGTAGAAGTAGCAATAAAACCTCTTGGAGCTGTGTGAGCAGAGAGCCATGTGCCGTGAGGCTCTGGCTGCCTTCCCACAGCTTCCCCTTTTGCTGTGCAGGGCCAGGTGCCTCTGCGCCAATCGTTCTTCCCTCAGGTGACCCCATTCCATCGCAAAGACACTGGTGTCCTGCGGAGCCCCTTGAGCTCTCGCACAGTGGTGGCCAGTGCACAGCCTGCAGTCTGACATGAGGATGGCCGCTAGAAGAATGAGTGCCTTCCAGCAGGAGTGTCTGCTGCAACCACGAGGACATGGGCTGGAAACATATCTGGGGCTGAAGCAAATGCAGGTCGATGCTTACAGCTGTTTCCTGGCACATCTCCTTTACCTCTAATAAGTTTAATGATGTGGGGGAAGCAGTAGCATTTTTAGCCCAGTAGCTCAATTTACAAAGGTTTCGACTGAAGTGTCACAGCCATCCGTCCACACCACGGGGAACTTTGGAGGATGCTCAAGTGCTGCTAGGAGAGAGAGAGAGGTGAAGCTGCCCTGAAACATGTACGCTTCCCCCGTTGATCCTGACACCCAGCAGCGTCTGCTCCACAGAAATATGGTAATTTCCCAGCCCTGCAGCAAACTGTCTCCTGCTCGCCTGTCTCAGTAGCGGAGGGCTGGGGCTCAGCATCGCTGTATGCCTGCAGCCGGGCTGCTGCCACAGAGCAGGGCCACCCCGCACCCAGCAGGGCAGCTCCCACAGAGCTCTCCTGCACAGCCCACACCAAGTCCTTCCTCAAGATGCTCTGCAGATGGAGTTTGACGCTGACGTTTGTTGCCAGCTAGGGGAATGTGCTTGGAAAAAAAAGGAAGGAAAATGGAAAGTGTGTCATGCCATCACGCAGCTCTCCCCTTGCTGTGTGCCAGGAGAGATGGTCGTACACAGGCAGCTCCTTCCATAATTTACAGCTGCTATAATAGAGATGACATATTGAAAGCTATCTTCTATAATTACACTGAAATACATTTTTTTGCTGTAGGCTAAAGTACTGTAAGGGTCCCAGGCCTCCTGGAACAGCTGGGAACCTGCTTTCTGAGTTCACAGATGTCTTCTGGATTCACCCCAAATTGGGGTGAAGTGTGGCGGCTGGGAAGACAACACCACCACCCCCAAGCGCTGTGGCACCGTGCGGCTGCGGATTGTCTGGGGTTATGCCTTCTGTTTTCCTCTTGCTCGCCTTGATGAAGCGTTAAGGCTCGCAGAAGCATCCTCCACTCCTACAAGGTTTCTGAGCAGGTTAACAAGGCCATCACTTATAACCTGACATTATTAATAATGTCTCAGGCACCAAGCAGGGGCCTGAAAAATAGCACTGAAAGAGGGATCAAGTAGCTCGGACGTTATAAATAAACAAGAGAAAACAAGACAGAGCATCGGCAGAGTCTGAACGTGCTTCCACTCAGCTGTGCTACGGGAGCATCACAGATGGGAGATGCTGGAGAAAGAAAATAAAAGCAGGCCCTTTGCACAGATGTAACCAAATGAAGGCTTGTCCAGCAGTATAAGTAAATTCAGGAAGAGATTTTTGCTTTTTCAGCTTCAAAACAGTCGATTTTTAATATCTGTGGAGAAATACTTTTCACAGAATAGAAATGCTTGAAAGCACTTCTAAGTAACAGTTACCGTTTGAAAAGTAGTTTGAAAATGTATTCCCTGGACCCACAGATAGCAGCCTTGTGATGAACTGCATGCCTTAAGCATTTCTCCAGTGCCAGAGACTTCGATTCAGCAGTACTGCCTAAGCAGCCTGAGCCCCCCACACCTCAGGAAGGCCGTAGCTGCGCCCTGGCGCGTCCTTCAGCTCTGTGCATCGCTGACCAGGTGACCAAAGCCGGTCTTTCTGTCAGCGGTCAGATGGCTGAAGCAGAGATCGGCTCAGGCTCCTGCAGCGCAGCCAGCACGCAGCAGGGGCCGATGGCTCCTGGCATGGCGAGGCCGGCACACCAGGCACCCCGTGTCAGAGCTGCAGTGCCACATGTGCCGGCTCTGCCTTTGTGCAGGACAGGCTGCAGTGGGATGGGGACGAGGAGGGCACCTGGAGCAGCCCTTGCTCTGCGGCAGGTACGCAGCCTGGAGGGGTTGGGACAGACTCCTCGTTTTTGGCATGAGCGGGGACCGCGGGCAGCGGGAATGGGCTCCCTGTGGCACCTGGGGTAGCATGAAGTGATTCTGTGATTCTGTGATTAAGCGTCCAGTGAGAGAGGAGGAAAAATCCGCAAATGGCAAATGCGGATCAGGCAGGTCAGATACCTGCAGCTGGAGCTCAGGTTGTGGTGGGGAGCCTGGGGCACCGTGGCTGCAGCACCCAGCGCTCTGTGCTGCCGTGTGGGACCCCTGCACTGCCCCCAGCCAGGCGCTGCCTCCCAGTGGTGTGGCGGGGAGGTAAATCAGCCTGTAATTTGCTTTCAGTAGTGTAAAGAAAAAAAATCACTTTGCCTGAAGTGTATGCATCTTTCTTAAGGGTGTACCCAGATTTTAATTATCTAAATGTAAATACTTAACGAATTTTACTTAGAGTAATGAGCTAAAGTGCACACTACATAAATGAGATGTTCTAATTAATCATGTATGAACTACTGGTTTAAAGAAAAGCTATGTGAATTCTGCGAATGTTGGGCGATTGCCAAATTGCTAATCAGCATTTGCATTCATAGATGGCTTCACTTAATAAGTTGTGAGACGTTCAGCAAATGTTATAGGAAATTATGAGTTTTTAGATGCATAAACTTTTCACTTTTAACTCTTTCCCTCACACCAGCTATTGAAATGCAGGAGAACTGCTGAACACGTACTTGTAAGACACATCATAGAATGATAGAATGGCTTGGGTTGGAAAGGACCTTAAAGACCATAGAGCTCCAGCCCTCCTGTCATGGGCAGGTTTGCCAACCACTAGAGATTGTAATGCTACTTTTAACCTTGGCTTCAGGAGAAAAAGCTGAGCTGGAATCAGGTTGATTCCTAATGCACATGGTGTGATTGTACGCTGGATGCACAGCGTGAAGTCCTTCAGCCTTGTTTGGAAGTGACTGCAGCTCTGCAGTGCACAAGGAGGGCTTCTTGTGCAACTGCTGTGTTGCCCCCCTTGGCCTCTGAGGAGTGCCGCTGGGGCTGAGTGCAATTTGCCCTTGGCCTGGTCCCCACTGCGCTCCAACTCTGTGCCAGCAAACCTGGGGCTGCACTGCCACACTCCAGGCAGGCAGCAGGCCCAGGGTTTGTTTTTGAAAGAGATAAAGGAGACATAAATCAGCACAGTTTGTGGCAGCTTGCAGCCTGCGTGGGGGGAAGCAGGGATGCCAGCATGACAGGCACTTGGTCACGCAGAGGCTCAGATCAGCAGAGCCTAGTGATGATGCAGCCTGCAGAAGTTTATATCATCGTGTCCTTTCGCCCGCATAGTCTGGGGCTAGTGATGGATGGCTGCTACAGCCTCCCCTCCCCAGGCCTGGCTGCGCTGTGAGGCCAGGCTGGGCACAGCCATGCTGTGACGCCATGTGTGGCAGGGGGCTGCATGGGACTGCTCCAGCGGGTTTAAACTCCCTACCTTCTGCAGGGTGTTAAACCTCCTGTGCTGCCTGCATGCATTCAGCACGCCCCTGGAAGTGCTGGCTGCCGACAGATTCTGCTCATGCATCTGAGCATGTGCTGGCACTGCTCACAACGTCCTGCCTCCAACCACTTACTGAAAGATCAGCCTTCCAGATCCCACTCCCCATCAACTTGCTGGGCACTGCTCGCCTCATGGATGGGAAGGGATAAGAGCAAAGAGGAACCACACCAGTGCTGGCTGCTGCCGGCTGCATGCAGTCTGCTCCCACGGCTGTGTGTGGGGATGGGGCTGTGTGAGGCTTCGCATGCTTGTTGGGTGGCACAAAGCAATTTCTAAGCCTCTCCTTCCTTCGTTTGCAGGCATGTAATGAATTTACCACACATGTGATGAACCTGCTCAGAGAACAGAGTCGAACGCGTCCCATTTCTCCTAAGGAGATTGAAAGGATGGTGGGCATCATTCATCGAAAATTCAGCTCCATTCAGATGCAGCTGAAGCAGAGTACTTGTGAAGCAGTCATGATTTTAAGGTCGAGGTTCCTTGATGCCAGGTAAGGCTGAGATGACTGCCCCAGCTTTTCTGGTGTAGAAGGGCTGCTGCTGGCAGTATTTGTGCTGAGCACTGTTCCATCATTGCAGTTAATTTAAACGGCTGCAGGTACAAGCATTTCCCAGCGTAGGGCCATAACCAGTCCCACAGTACAGGTTACCTGGGAGCAACATGTCACAGCCTGAGGCTGGCTCTGAGTTAGCAGCTGCCTGCACTTGAGGTAAGAAGTGTTGATAATTCCAAAGACCAGATCTGCTGGCCCCTGTTCCAACAAGCTGTCATGCGAGTAGAGTCGGTGGTGGCAAAAGAGGGGCTAACAGCCTAATTTGCTGGGGTGCCCCAAGAAGGTGGGAGGCTGCCCCAGCACTGTCCCTGCCACAGGAGCCTGGCAGCTGGCTGAGCGCCGCAGTACAGGGAGAGCCCACATGGAGCCTGCAGTTATCAGCCAGTGCCTGCTTCACACCTGAAAGCTGTGAGGAGCTAAACAAGAGCAAAATAATTTTATTAACAAGGAGGTCACTGGCAGGTGTGGCAAATTAGGATAATTACAAACAGTTGGAGGAAATGTCTGTGGAGAGCTCTAGTAACTGCAAAAGGTAAAGCTTGCAGATGCACATTTTAAAGTGATTTCTTTAAAAAGGAGGAAGGTAAATAAGGCAAAATGAGCGGAAGCACAGTAATGAGATAAATGCAGCTCTAGGGAGAGTCTGCCTGCTTCAGGATACGGCATCGTTAGCAGCACTGTGATACTCCTGGAAGAGAGCGTTGGGGATTGCTGCTAGGCTGCCTGCTGGCCTGCAGCACTGCCTGTGATTGCAACCAGCCTGGAGGGAAAGGAGCTCTGACAGAATGTCTAACTGGAGATTCTGTGAGGAGCTCCCAGGCTGGCAGGCAGCACGTCCCAGCGTGGAAGTGAACAGCTGTGCAGGTGCTGCTGCCACGGTCCTCAGGCTGCACCTCAGGGAGTGCCTCAGCACTGCAGCCTGCGCCAGGGCCTGCACTGCCCTCAGCAGCGAGTGCGGGCTGCTTGGCTCCCTGAGTGCTGGATGAGGATGTGGCATGCAGGCAGCCCTGCTATGCTCGCCCCGGTAGCCCTGTGCAGGAGCCCTGACTGTACGGGTGAAGGGAAGGGTGATGCTGTTGTCAGCACTGGAGATGTAGTTGTGGAGCAGGCAATGTGCTCTTTTGGGCTGAGGCTGGGTGCTGGCTGACTCCATGACTGCTCCTGCCTCACTTCCTGCTCTGCTGCCCCAGGTCTCAACCTGTGTTGTGTGGGAGTTGTCTGTGTGTTCCTGGGATGAGTCCCGTGCAGGCTGGGTGACAGAGGCAGTGCTCGGACCCCAGCAGCCCTCAGCATGGTGATGGTAGAGCTGGGGGTGTGGAGGTGGCTGCATGCTGCCCTGCCGGAGCTCTGGTGGAGTTGGAACAGCTGTTGTTTTCTTTTCTCATTTCAGAAGGAAAAGACGCAATTTCAGTAAACAAGCCACAGAAATATTGAATGAGTATTTTTACTCCCACCTCAGTAACCCTTACCCCAGTGAAGAAGCCAAAGAAGAGCTGGCAAAGAAGTGCAGCATCACGGTATCACAGGTAGGCAGCAGGGGGAGCGCGGCCCCAATCCCCCACTGCTCTCTGACCGAGCTGCCCCTGCTCCAGCTCAGGATGGGCTTCGGTAGGGGCTGCGCATGCAGGCTGCCCTGCCCTGTGCTTGTCCTGATCCTTTTGGCTCTCTCTCAGATGTTACTGTAAAGTTAATGCAAGAAAAACAGCTTCTCCCTAATTAGAAGGGCTTAATTCCATTGGCTGGGACTGTTTTCTGTGCAGGCCAAAACACACGTACAGCTCTGAGCTGGGTCCTCACAAAAACATTCAGGCTGATGGCACCAATACATCAAACTTTCATTCACTGTTTCCTTCACCACTTCAGAAAGCAAAATAACATGTTGCATTTCTTGTGGCCTGTATGCTTGACAGAAAGCCAAAATAATCCCACATCAAATCTGGCACACACAGCTTGGGAAAGGCTGCTCTTGGATGGTAGAAGAGAAAGTTCACTGGCAGCGTCCCTGTTCTCCAGCTGTCCCATTGCGGGGCTGCATGCCATCTCCTCCCAGCTCCATCAGCGCTGCTTATCAATATTTCAGGTCCTTTAGAGGAACAACGCCTGCGGCGAGTGTGTTAACTATTAATGATTGCAGGCTTCGGTATTGGCATTATTAGCAGCGCAACCTTTAGCTTTATAATTAAGACTTGAGTTGAGATTTACTTTATAAGTCTCCATTGAATCCATGAAAAATTCAGGCTCTTTATTGAAGACTTTCAGATGAAATCTTCTGTGAGAAAGGCCACTCAGCTCCCCAAAACCTGATCTTACTTAATTAACTTTGAATGGGCCATCAGAAGTACAAACTCTAGCACAACTGTCCTCTGCTGTGAAAGAGGCCAGCAGAGATACACTTGTGCCATGCTTGCTTCCCAGCGCACAGCGTGTCCTGTGCTCCTGCTGGATGGGAAGCTTGTGTGACCAGTGAAGGTAAGGGGTGCAAGTGGGAACAGTTTATCTCAGTCTACTTACAACTGGCTATGGTGATGTGCAGGAATTTTGGTTTTTCCTCTTGGAGAATGCTCAATGTGAGAAGGAAGTACGTGTTGCTATGTTGAGCCTGCTACAGGGTAGAAAATGGTATTTGTGGCCTAAAGTGCCCTGCTTTGGGAGGCTTGGCACAGAACTTGCTTGCTATTGAGTTTCTCCTTTGTCACTGCTAGCATCACATGAGTAACTGCCGAGCAGGCAGCTTTGGGCAACTATGCCAGCCCACAGGTATCACTGCAGCTCTCCCAAATGACTGGAGCCAGCCAAACAGCTGCAGAGCACAGGAGGACCTGTGCAGCTTGGTCCACAGCCGGGTCTCATTGCTGGTTTCAGTCATTTTGGCATAATATAGCTTATTGCAGTTCCTCCAGTAAGTGTTGTTTGAAAAATCCTCCCGCAAGAGCCAAGGTGGCTTGCTGTGTAGTTAGGAGAGCCAACATCATCAACATGAAGTTGGAGAACACAGAAGTCATCTCTGCTGGCACAGTGTAATCAGGGAAAGCACACACACTGTGCTGGAGAGCATAGCAGACCTGCTGAAGAGATGTTTTGTGTCCAGCCAGGAGCTAGAGAGCTGTGCCTGGCGGAGGACGAGTTAGTGATCCTGGAGAGTGGGCAGATAAAAAGCTAGACCTAGATAAGGCTGAGGAGGCTAAGGAAACAAGATGGAGCATTTGAGAAGCCATAACTGATTGCTTCTAGTGCTAATAGATCTGATTGCTTTCTTAATTGGCTGTTTGATAAGATTTAATGTATATGTTGTAGAATGAAATAAAAGGCAGGCAGACGGTCCAAAAGAGTAGGAGCAGCAGTCAGCCTGTAATGTGAATATAGGTTTGCCTCTTTAATATTTGATACGAGCGTGAATTAGTCGTTCCCTGAATCCATTAGGAAGCCTGGATGAGTGATGGGAGTAGCTGCATTGCCTCCTTTGTACCATTCTGCACATCCTGAGCTTTGAAGGGCCACGTTTCCCAACCTAGGAGTGAGGACAGCATTAACTACAAAGCGTTGACAGCATCTGCCACGGATGCAGATCTGGGGCAGTGGCTGAAGCTTCAGTCTGGCAAGGAGTGTGCGAACGGCTGGAAGAAGTCCCTGATGGTGGGAAGGCCAGAGCACTGGGCAGTGTGCCACCTAATGGGAGAGAAGCCTGCAGTGAGAGAGGGTGTGCCTCTGATCAGCTGGTTACTTGAATTCCTGATAGATCTGCTTTCACCACTGGAAATGTGAGTGCTGTGGTTCTCCTGCTCTTTGATTTTTTTTCTGAGGTGTTTCCAAAGGCCGTATGGCAAGGCTGCAGGATTAGTTGATATTTACTAGGTCAGACTAGGCTGAAGTTGTCTTTCTTTGTCCTGAAAAGTGTATATATTTTTAAGGCCATCTAGCAGAAAAGCTCCAAGCATGCACTGTAAAATTGCACCGTCCACGCTGCCCTGGTGCTTGGCAGCAAAAGTCAGAGGATGCAATCCAGAAATCAGGCGTAAATTGAGCAGTCATTTAAAATACTGGCAGGAGTAGCATCACCTGGGATGAGCAATGGCATCCAAGCGAGTGACTGAGCTACTCCTGCACAGGGTTTTTATGAAAAATCTTTAAGCAGATCTATTTCCAGACCTGACCAGGAGTCCCTCCGACGTTGCCTTGCCTGGCACTGCGCCCGGCTGCCTCCTTGGCTGCAGAGGCCCGGGAGGTACAAAGAGCTGGGAAATGAGAAGGGGAAAAAAACTGTTGGCTTTGGAAACTCCTGGAGGTTTCTGTTTGTGTTTGAAGAAGCTTGGTCCTTTTTCTATCTGAGCTGGGCTTCCCATGCAGTCTCTAACCTGCAGTACTAACTTGTGCTGTCAGTGTCTGAGGAATGCTGGGGGCAGGTTCACGGCAGAATATTTTCTCCCTCAAACAATTAGTGAGAATTTTGGATCAGCCTCCCCCCTGCTTAAGCAGCTGACTGGAAACCTTGCTGCTTAGGCATTTCACTGAGCTGCAAAGAAACTTGTCTCCTGGAATCATTTAGCTGGGGAGGGAGATGGATGGTTTTAGTTTTGGTCCTGGTGTTTAAAATACTGTGTAGAGAAGGTGTTTCAAGAAAAGCATAAAGACAAACTATGAAGATGAGCACCTCACGCAATTTCATTTTAAGAGTATGGAAAAGGTAATTCTGGGGGAAAAAAAATGTCCTTAACAGAACATTGTTGGCTGTAATTTAGAACCACCCGATCAGCACGTGTTTGTGGGAGATAAACTGTGTCATCTGTTCTCTCCGTGCTGTGGCTGCGAGGCTGATGTTTTATACTTTTGCAGATGAGTCTCTTTCAGGGTGTCATGAACAACTATCAGTCTATCATATGAGCTATAGAAAGGGCATAGTTGCTGCTGAAAGCATGTCAGTGGATTATGGCAATAAAATTTTTCACTGCTTCAAACAGAAGAAGAATACGGTTGACAAGAGAGTGTATTTAAAATCTTTTTTTAAAAGGATGCAAAAGCTGATTTTCAGCATCTCTCCAAGCCCCACTTCTTCTGCTCTGTTTGTTTTGGTAAGCACGTTGACGTGGAGAGCTGCAGATTTATAGGCTCTTATCCTTGACTTTGTTTGGGAAGCAAGAAAAAAAAAGATGCGAGCTTAAATAAATAGTTTGTAGATGTAAAATTGTTAGCCATAATTGTACTGTGCTTATTTTCAGGTTTTTTTCTGCTTTGTGTCATTTGGCGAGGTACAGAATATAAACAGTGCTGCAGACCCTTGGAAAGACTATGGAAAAATTTCTGTGATCCATAAATATTTAGTTTGCTCATTTCAGCAGTGATGTTCTTGTGTCAGCTGGTTCTCTGCAGAACGAGGCCTGATTTTTCCCAAGAGCACAGCCGGTGCTGAGACAAAACGCGTCCCATCCCAAACCCCACACTAGGCATCAGGACTATTTAAGTAATAATTTATTGTCTTTTCATTAAACATTGCAATTAATGTGGTAAGTAAGTGCAACAGTATTTTTTGAAATGTAATATACAATTAAGCCCAAGTAATAAATTGACCTTCAATGATCAGGAGTAGGAAGATGGTTTATTTTTTGTTTGTTTTTTATTTTTAATGTGAACGTATAGATAGTTTGTTTAAATGAAAAGCGTTCATAAAGCAGCTCACAGCTTCCATTTTTAGGATGAGCCTGCAGTGCTGTGAAGAGCCAGGGCACAGTGGGATCGGGAGCAGGGCACGGCAGCCCCTCCGGTGCCCTGGGCAGCCTGGTGACCACAGCTGTGCGCCGGGGAAGGGAGGGCAGCAGGGAGCCAGCAGGGCCTCGTGGTGGTGTGCTTCATCCGGCCCCGGTGCTGCTAGCCGTGCTGGCTGTGCAGTGGAGGTGGCGAGGAGCGGGAATGCCGAGCCCTGCGGCCGGGCAGCAAAGGGTGCTGGGCTGTGACGTCCATCCTGGGGAGGCTCTGCCCAGACCGGGGTGTGCAGCGTGTGCTTTGGTCTCAGGAATAGTTTAACATTTCTGGATGTTCATTGAGATGTGGTATATGGGTTAAACATAACGCACGATTGCTGCTCCTCTCATTGCTTCCAATTAAACCTTGCTTGTTAGTTTAACCTCTAGGTAATCCCATCAAACAATTGATGTCAAGGAAACACTGCCCACAGTGGCTCTGGATGAGTGGCCATTAATTTTAATTGCCTTGATATTAAAGATTAAGAAGTATTGGGGCTAGCAGAATGGAAACGATCTGATGTCAAGCAAATCCACTCGATGAGGCTTCCCCAGGCTGCTGGTGATATTAAAATTTTACTGTGAGAATTAAATAAACCTTTATTAGTGATGGCTGTTGTTTGATTGGTCCATGGGTGTGCATAAACAGAGGGATCTCGTGCACATCTGTGGACAATAGTTGATGTACAGAGATTCCTCAATTATGAAACTGTTAATAAAGCATAATCTGATTGTCCACAATAATTATTTGCTAGGTTTCATTAATGCATTATTGCTTTTCTGACTGACAAGATAAATATTAAGTGTAATATACAGAATACAGTACAATAGATGCAGTGCTCTCTAGGGAAGGGAATGTATAAGGTGTGCATCTTGAATTACAGTTAAAAGCTGGGTGCTTTTCATTAATTCTGTTAAAGGCTGGAGCTACCTAAAGCACAGGTCCTGTGGGCTTTGCTGGGTGCAGCGATGCACTCCTGGGCTTTCAGAGGAGCTGCAGTGCTCTGTGGTGCTTGTGGGATGTGGGAGCAGCCGAGTGTCACTGTGTGCTGTGCAGTGTGGAGCTTTGGTCCCTCACTACAGGGCACAACTAATTACCACTTGTGTTGTTACCAGTCCCCTCCCCTCTACCTCTGTCTCATTACAGATGCTTTTTTGTCTGGGCAGCTTTGGCTGTTGCCTGTGTTACGAGCTGAGGCTCTTGTTTAGCTTTGTTGTAGTGCTGAAGTTAAACAAAGGCGCTGAGAAACCACTGCAGGATCTTTTCTGAACTGTTCCAGCCGTGACCTCTGCACGGGTTAATGGCCAGCGCCCTGCCAGCCACTCTGGTCTCAGTACAGTATCTTCAAAGAGAGATGACAAAGTGACTTTTCAGCCATTATTGATTTATATGATCCCTTTCATTTCCAGCCGACCAAACACAGCTCTAGGTGCGGGCTGCCAAGGTTGTTCTGGCCCCCAGATAAAGAACAATGTGGAGCTGTGGCTGTTTGCTCTGGCTCAGCCAGCAGGCACTTCAGTCCGTGCGGCAGCTCTGCGGTTTTGCACTGCCCTCATGGATGGATGGCGATACTGACGAGAGACAGCAAGCTCCAGGATACGTGTTGTCACCCCTTGGGCATCAGTTTGCCAGCGGACAAGCAGAACCAGATCAGACACGTACCTGTACTCATATTTAACTGATCCATGATTGTTGCAGGGTTCCTGCTGGGGATGAGGCACTGGGGTTAACTAGATCC